TCTTTCCCTTTTGGAAACAAAATTATGCTCATGAGTTAGTTTTTTTGTGAAACTATGAATTGTTATTCTGTGCTTCGTTGCCAGTGTGTTAAACAGGGCTGTTCAGTTAGCAATAAAAGGGTGTTAGGAGGATGGAATGAGTTAAAACTTCATTTTGCCATGGTCTGAGAAGCTTCCATATTCTTACAGTCCTCTGTTACTAGGTCTATATAAGGCAGATATTTTCCTATCATGGCATGGTACAGATCTGTTCCATGTTGCCTACAGTATTTTAAAGAGGAGTTGTGTCTCACAACAAAATGAAGTCTCTTTCAGGGCAGACTACACAGTGCTTGTCTATGGGACACCTGAGGGAATGGACCAGGTACCTCCTCCAGCCCCAAGGCCTCTGACCTCAGCCTAGCTAAACCGAATAATTATCTCTCGCCCATTATCCAGGCCTCGCTCATCAGACACCAGATTTCAGCCTAAGAAAACTCTGAGGGGCAAGCAGTTAATCCATTTTAAGGGTTTCACATTTCATCCGTCAGGCTTAGAGCTGGTCCAGTGGAGAAGGAGTTTTTCTAGGAACTGAAGTCTGAGTCAAATGAATAAGTGCAGATTTGAAACACTGCTAAACATTTTATCATTTCTTTAAAATTTCTACCCACTCCTCCCTTCTTGCACCACACCACCTAACATATAAATCAGTTATTTATTTTTCATTTATCTGGCTTTCTTTACTAGAATGTAAGCTTTAGGAAGTTAACGTCTTTTTTTTTTCTTTTTTGTTTACTGAGGTATCCCAGGAGCCTAAAACAGTGCCAACAGCCTAAAACAGTTGACTCAATAATTGTTTATTGAATTAGGAACTTTGATGGTATTAAAACACAGCAGTTAGCCTCACAAGATTACTCTTATGTCTCTTCATTTATGAAGGCTTCAGAGAGAATTATAAAGCAAGAGACAAGCTAACTCACAAAACACTAAGCCAAACAATGGTATGTTAAAATTTAATATTCAAGTAAGGTTAGGAAGATGTTCATCCATGAAGTTATGAGTCTGTTGTAAGGGGAATGGTGTCAGTGGCATGAATATAGTTGATGTTCACACTGAGTGTTTTAGGCCGGCAGACCCTGTGACCTCCTCTGTGTTTGGAGGTACGTGTGTGGTCCCCCTATTCACCATACTGCTCAGCTGCCTTTACCCACAACCCGCACATGCCTGAGTGCTGTGTAACTCTGTGGGCGGACAATGCATTATTCAGAAGCGTGTTATCTAGTTTCATATTTTGTACATGCCTCCCTTCTTTATGCTTCTAGAATAACTTTGTTTTATCCTGATTACATCAGTTATCCAGAGATCTGGGAAGAAAAGACAGAACACAGATCAGTTTTATTTTCTGTAGTTTCATTATCAAGTTTTGTTGGTAATTAATTGAAACAGTTACCTAAGATAACTTAGGTTAGTTGATGGTCCATGGAATTCTTAGCTGCCTTTATCATTAATGATTGAGACTCGTTGCACTTTTCAAATTCCTTTTGGAAGTCAGATCTGTAGAACTGTGTTTTATTTACTTATATGTGTGGATTCATAACAGAAGTTACGTCTTTTGAAAGTGGCAGTTCTGCAGGATAGAACATTCCCGGAACAGATGGGAGCATTGTTTTGAGGGACAGAAAACTGTTTCACAACTCGTATGTTTTAGGAGGTCCTGTTTATAGTAGCTTGTAGTAGAGGTGACAGAAATAGTGTTAAGCAGATGCTTCCTTTCTTCTCTCTTGCACTTTGGCTATTAAACACTCTACAGAAAGAGATGCAGGACAAACAGTCATATTCCCATATAGGAACCAGTGCCATCAAGATTTCTAGATTTATCTTGTGTACTCAATTCTGTTTCATGTTTAGTATTTCACCTAAACTTCCTTGAGTATTAGAGCAACTGTGAAAACTGTTACTGTTATCTATTAATTCTCATAGTCTGTTTTCAGTTGTCTTCATTTGTATTCATATGTTGGTATGCGTTTCAGTGTGACAAAATGACAAAAGCCTTGATTGAGGGAGGAAAATGGTTCTGAATTTGACCCGTATTTTTTGGTGATCAGTTTCCCGTATATTTTTATGAAAAAATGAAACAAAAATAATAGGGATTTGTATTTACAAAAAAAGTTGTTGTACCAGAACTGAAAGGAAGAAAAGTTCTTTTAAGATGGTTTGTTCCTTTGAGGCTTTTTGCCTGAACTTTCATATCAGAACTCTATGAAGAGTGTAATGATTTTCATAATGTATTAAAAGATCAATAAATGACACATCTTTTTAGTGGATATTTTGGTAGCTACATGGCATGAATGATGCTATTAATCTTGTTTATACATATACAACAGGAGATCAATACATGTGCATGTATAGAAAGGTCATTGAATATAGTTTATTAATTTTGAGAATTTAGGAAACTTCATGATGCAAGTTTTGATTTTAAAAAACTATTATAAATGATATTTAGTAGTAGTCATATTTTATGTGTACATCCAGTAAGAATGTTAGGTTACAGTATTTTAAGATTGGCAGTCTTTTATACAGACATAAAAAGCACACTTGAAAACTATGTTTCCCTTTCCCCCAGGAGTTACAGATATATAAGGTAATATCAGTCTTTCCACCCTTTTCCAGTAGACCGCATCAAATTGGTATATACCTTTAATGGATGGGGAAAATTGTTTTCCTTGTCAAGTTAATAGTAAGATATTCATTGCCAAGTTATATTTTCCATATTTTCATAAGGTAAACAGTGGCTATGAAGAAAATTCTTTTATAAATGCTAGTAGTCATATAAAATAAGTGAATATAGAAATTTTCTGATGTCGTGTATTGATATCAATGAATTGGTGTGATGGTGACAGTGTCTACCAGTCGCCTTATGTGGAATTCAACCTGTATCCTTTTAACACATTCACTGAATTTTTATTAATAATTCTGCTTTGCCTCATGCAGACCTGCCATAATTTTTTTTTCAGGCTCTGAGTTTATATCTCACTTATGTCATTGTGGCTCATAGTTAGAGACTTTAATCTTTCATAACTGGCAGGAGATGCGTCTTCAGATACCAGACTTTCTCACAATGTTATTTACCTTCCATGAATAAAGGTGGATTATAAAGAAGATAAAATACCATGATATTGCCAGATAATTTTATCAATTGGTCTTCCTAATCGTATGTAGTTCATACTGCCGTCTCTATTGCTAAGTGTTGTCAGCTTGACGAATCAGTGAAACGTTTTTCTTATCCTTAGATTGTCATAATGGAAGTGGAAGGTTTGAAGTCAGTCGCTCCCAATCGAATTGTTTACTGTACAATGGAAGTGGAAGGAGGAGAAAAACTGCAGACAGACCAGGCCGAAGCCTCAAGGCCACAGTAAGCCAGCTGAAAAAAATGTGTTTTTCTTCTCTCTTTTTTTTTTTTTTTGCGGTACGCGGGCCTCTCACTGTTGTGGCCTCTCCCGTTGCGGAGCACAGGCTCCGGACGCGCAGGCTCAGCGGCCGTGGCTCACGGGCCCAGCCGCTCCGCGGCATGTGGGATCTTCCCGCACTGGGGCACGAACCCGTGTCCCCTGCATCGGCAGGCGGACTCTCAACCACTGTGCCACCAGGGAAGCGTTTCTTCCCTCTTGAAGAAATGTGCTTTATCTCTTTGAAGAATCGTATGGTTTTACACTCTGAAACTGTTATTTGGCTAGCTTTGTCTCAACTGTGTTAGAATCAGTGTGTGCCTTTCTGGATAATGAGGCTATAATTAGAGCTATGCAGAATCCCTGTGTAGCACAAACAGAAAATCCAACATGCAAATGTGAAGCTAATTATTAGGCAATTAAATGTTTGTAAGTCATTTGTAAGGAATGCGTGTGTTGTTATCGTGTGTTATTTAAAAGGCAGTGCTTGATCCTATTTCAGTTACTAGAAATGTAATCTATAGCTTTTCCATTTCTGTGTATTATAGCTCTGTGGCGGTGCTGAGGTAGATATTAGACAACGTCTTGGGATACTTTAGTGAGTAGGCTTGAGTTAGAGAACCGGTTAATGACTACCGTGCAGTAACTGGAGATGCTAAAACTGTTCTTTGCTGGCAGTTTTATGTTTCAGATTCTGGGAGTGAGTTTAGGTTTGGAAGATGTTCTTTTTAACTGATTCAAACTTGGGAAACATCACAGTCTCTGGTAGAAAATAACCACGTGGGCCAGGGGAATTTAAATGAAAATTGCCTGGCCTTCATTTGCACACTGCCTTTCGATAACATTTTTTTCTTCCATTTAAACTTTATTTAGAATTTCTTACAGGCCTTAGGATTTTTGCCTTATAACGGTGTCAGTATGTGGATTCTTCATTCAGGAAACCTCAACCTCTGAGATTCTGGCTGAGCACTGGCTAGATAGAGATGAACGAGAAACTTTGATTTTCTTTAGGGCAAAGTCTAAGGAGGTATACAGAGAGTTAAGTGTAACAGGGCAGATGTGCACAGAGTATTATGGGATTGAGAAGAAGCAAACTGAAACTTCTCACCCTGCCTTACAAAGCCCTACAGGCCTCCCCTGACCAGCCTCTCATTACCTCTGGGACCTCACCTTGTCTCTCTGTTCCCCTGGTCAGTTACTATTCCGCCTCCCTGGACCTCATGAAGTTCCTATCAGCCTTCTCTCATCATTGCACTTGCTTTTCCCTCTGCCTGCAGTTGCTCTGCCTCTTACCTTTTTATAGCTGGATCCTTAGTACTGAGAAACGTAAACATCACTTGCTGAGAACAGCCCCTTCCTTTAGACAACCCAATGCTAAGTGGATATTTTCTGGTTCATCACTTTATAATTTTTAGATTAATGGGTTCCTCATCTGTGTATCTTGTACTGTGTCCCTTCCTCTGTCCTTTTGGACGGAGCTCTTGTCCTGTTGATCTTATGTCTTAGCACCTTGTAGGTACTCATTCAGAATTTACTGATTCACGGTGAAGTGAAAATAATGAGGATAAACAGCTCTTTAAGAGGTTAAAACCTCTCAGGAGGCTGTGTGAGACAGAGAAACTGGGACCATTTCTAGCAAGGCATATGGAGTCAAGGGAGGGGTTTGGTGTCTGTTTTAAAAATTAGCTGGTTTAGTATATTCACAGTGTTATGCAACCATCGTCAATTTTAGAACATAGTCATCACCTCAGAGAGAAACTCTTTACCTTTTACGTATCAGCCTCAAATCACCTCAGCCCTAAGCAACTACTAATTGACTTTCTGTGTCTATGGATTTGCCTTTTTGGGACATTTCATATAAAAGGAATCATATATAACAATAATATGTGCTCTTTTGTGACTGGCTTCTTTCACTTAGCATATTTTCAAGGTTCATCCATCTTGTGGCATGTGTAGGACTTCATGCCTTTTTATGGCTGAATGATATTCCATTGTATGTATATACCACGTTTTGTTTATTCATCTAGGCTAATGAGACTTAGGTTGTTTCTACCTTTTGGCTACTGTGAATGATGCTGCAGTTAAAGGCTGGTATACAAATACCCATCTGAGTACCTGTTTTCAGTTGTTTGGGGTATACAGCTAGGAGTGAAATTGCTGAATGATATGGTCATTCTATGTTCAGCTTTTTGATAATCCATCAAAATGCTTTTTCACAATGCACCATTTTATTTTCCCACCAGCAATGTATGAGAGTTAAATTTCTTCATATTCTCATCAGTGCTTGTTGTTTGACTTTTAAAAATATATAGCCATCGTAGTAAGAGTAAAGCAGTGTCTTGTGGTTTTGATTTGCTCTTCTCTAATGACTAATGATGTTGATCATCTTTTCATATGCTGTAGTAGCCATTCATGTAGCTTCTTTAGAGAAAGAAATGTCTATTCAAGTTTTTTGCCTATTTTTTATTTGAGTTGTTTGCCTTTTGGTTGTTAAGTTGAAAGAACTATTTATATATTCTAGATACTAGACCCTTATCATATATATGATTTGCACATGTTTTCTTCCATTCTGTATATTATCTTTTCACTTTATTGATACTGTCTTTTGAAGCATGAAGTTTTACAACTTTAAGTCCAGTTTACCTAGTTTTTGTTTGTTGCTGTGCTTTTGGTGTCATATCTAAGAATCCAGTGCCAAATCCAGGGTCACAAAGATTTACCCCTGTGTTTTCTCCTAACACTGTCATAATTTCAGCATTTTGCATTTAAGTGATTGACCCATTTTAATTTTTGTACATGGTATGATGTAGGGTGAAACTTCCTTCTTTTGTGTATGACAATCCAGTTGTCCCAACACCATTTACTGAAGAAACTACTCCTTGTCCATTAAATGTTCCTGGTACCCTTTTGAAAATCATTTGACGATAGATACATGGGTTTATTTATGGACTGTCAGTTTCATTTCATTGATATATCTATATGTCTGTCCTTATGCTAGTACCACATTATCTTGATTACCATTGCTTTGTATTGAGTTTTAAGATCAGGTGTGTGAGTCTTCCAAATATGTTTTTTTTCAAGATTATTTTGGCTATTCTGGTTTTCCATATGAATTTTAGGATCACTTTGTCAGTTTCTGCAAAAATTTTGTAGTTATCACCAGCTTGGATTCTGATAGGAATTGTATTGAATCTGGGGTCAGTTTGGAGAGTATTGCCAACTTAACAATATTAAGTCTTCCTACCCAGGAACGTGGGATATCTTTCCATTTATCTAAATTTTTAATTTCTTTCAACAATATTTTGTAGTTTTCAAAGTATGTTTTCTACTTCTTTGGTTAATTTTATTTCTAGTATTTTTATTCTTTTTGATGCTATTATTAATGGAATTGTTCTTTTAAATTCACTTTTGGATTGTTCATTGCCAATGTATAGAAATACAGTTGATTTTTTGTATATTAATTCCATATGCTGCACCCTTGCTGAACTTGTTTATTCTAATAGTACATTTTTTACTGGATTTCTTAGACTTCTTTCTATATAATATGTCATTTGCAAATAGTGATCGTTTTATTTCTTACTGTCCAATCTGAATGCTTTTTATTTCATTTTTTGCCTAATTGCCCTGACTAGCACCTCCAGTACAGTGTGAAATAGAAGTGCCAAGAAAAGACATCCTCGTGTTCCTAATTTTAGAGGAAAAGCATAGTCTTTCATCATTAAACATGATGTTAGCTCTGCCTTTTACATAGATGCCCCTTATCAGTTTGAGGAAATTCCTCTCTATTCCTAGTTTGAGTGGGTTTTTTCCATGAAAGGGTGTTGGATTTTGTCAAATGTTTTCTCTGCATCTATTGAGATGACCATATGGTATTTGCCATTTATTCTATCAATATGGTACATTACATTATATGCTTTTGGCGGAGGGGGGTGGTTAAACCAACCTTGCATAATTGCCACTTGGCCGTGATGTATATAATTTTTTTTTTTTTTGCGGTACGCGGACCTCTCACTGTTGTGGCCTCTCCCGTTGCGGAGCACAGGCTCCGGACGTGCAGGCTCAGAGGCCATGGCTCATGGGCCCAGCTGCTCCGCGGCATGTGGAATCTTCCCGGACCGGGGCACAAACCCATGTCCCCTGCATCGGCAGGCGGACTCTGAACCACTGTGCCACCAGGGAAGCCTCTATAATTATTTTTGGTACTAGATTATTTTCTCTAGTATTTTTAAAATCTATATTCATAAGAGATTGGTCTATAATATCCTTTTTTTTGTTGGCATCTGTCTGATTTTATATTGGCCTCATAAAATTCTTCTACTTTTTGGAAGGGTATGAAGAATTGGTATTAATTATTTTTTATGTGTTTGGTAGAATTACCAGTAGAACCATCTGGGGATAGATTTTTCTTTGTGGGTATTTTCTGGTTACTAATCCTGATTATATAGTGAATCATAATAGCTCTGCTAGGTTGGGTTCTTGGTGAGAGCCCTCTTCCTGCCCTACAGATCGCTGCCTTCTTGCTGTGTCCTCACATGGTAAAGAGACAGATCTCATTTCTCTTCATCCCATAATAAGGACGCCAATATTCTCATGGGTCTCCACTCCCATGACCTCATCTGAGCCCACTTACCTCCCAAAGGCCCCGCCTCCAAATACCATCACACTGGGGATTAGGGCCTCAACATATTAATTTGTGTGTGGGGGGTGTCACAAACACTACCCTACTCTAGTACTCCGTGAGTTCTCGAGGGAGTGCAAATGCCCTTAGAATCTCAATGTCATGATGTTTTTACAGAATCTTTTCTTAAAGTTTTACTGAGGTATAGTTTATATAGCATAAAATTCTTTTATTGAAATTTAGATGATTTTTAATAAATTTATACACTTGTGCCACTATCATCACAATTCAGTTTCAAAACACATTATTTCACAAAGTTGCCTCATTCCCATTTGCCATCTTACTTCC